TAGCTGCATTCGTCACAAGTGGGAAAAATTTAAATCTGCATGGCACTTTACTCCAATTGGCTCATTCGCTTGCTTAAACTCAACATTGATTCTGATTCCGCAGAACTGGGTTTGGTGTGAAAAAGTATTTGTTGTTAACGTTCTTTTTTCATTCGGTTTTTCCAGTTACGAGTCCTTTTTTAAAATTGATCGTTTTGTGTTCATTTTGTTTAGGTCTTTTTTCGTAACATGTTTAATGTTTAGTATAGAACTTAGAAAAAATTCGCAGTGTGAGATAGGCAAGAAGTAAGGCATGTAGCAACATCAGCACGCAAAGGGCACTCCTTTAAAGGCAAGGAAGGGCAAAAATATTTTAAGTCAAGTGATAGCGATTGCTGTATGAGTCGTACGATTTTTGAATCAGGCACGGGCAACGCCGGGCCATGCTGCTATATATATATATATATATATATATATATATATATATATATATATATATATATATTAAATAATATAGACAAGTTCTCTCTATTTATTTTAAGTAAGTTACTTTCATATTGTCTGATAAGCTTAATCACATTATCATTTAAAGGCGAAAGGAAATCACCATATTGATACATGTTTAAATGTAAGCTTTCGGTATACACGTGTCTGTCGTTGCTTTGAAATTTTTCATGCAGCAAGGGCGGACTATCATTATTGTTTCGTCCATGTGTTGTTTGATATATTGAAATTGTCATCTTTGATAACGGCTTACGTAAGCCGAAAGCTTAGATTGCATTTAAACATGTATCAATATTGTGTTTTCCTTTCGTCTGTCAACGATAATACGATTAAGCTTATCAGACAATATGAAAGGAACTTACTTAAAATAAATAGACAAAACTTGTCTGTATTATTTAATGAAACATGCATTAATGAAAAATCGCTGCCTAAATATGCACAATATATATATATATATATATATATATATATATATATATATATAATGCCTTTAAATCCCTTGAAGATATCGTTAGGTATCTGTGAGAAGGTTGTTAGCCCACTGAAGGACAACTCTGAATCCAAAGCCTGATCCCAACCTGGAAGGATCAGGTTTTGAATTCAGAGACCACAACCCAGTCTGTCCTTCTATTTACTCATAGCTGGAGGAAGCGGAGAAGAAGAAGAGGATTCATACCTTTCCCAAGTGTATTATCACGTAAGTGAATGTAACGGATCCGCTTGAGTTCGAACTCTGCTCTCCGATTCCTCAATTCGAGCCGCTATCCATTACTCCATCGTGCCTCTTTAAAAACAAGAAAACAAAACAAAAAAGCTTTTATATGACTTTTTTTTTCATAATGTCGCCTTCAAGAATTTTTTTGTTGATATGCGTGTATATTCATAATTATAATTAATTATTAAAATTATTAAATGTTTAGATATTTTATATTATTATATATGAAGAGAAAACGTTTTACTTCTAGTAGGTTTAATTTCACACGGGTGCAACATAATTTTAGCATTCGGGCTCTTTAAGTTAGGATAGGTAATTACATATAAATGTTACTAGATTTGTTTTTAAGCCGATATTTTTATTGCTTCAAACGTCATTTATAATTGACGCCCGTATTTGAGTAGACGCCCCGTTTTTTAAATGGTGTATATTACGCCTATCGGCCTGTACACCTGAGAAAAATTAATCAAGCGGCCTAAAGCAGTCAAGATTAGATGGCAGTTTCGCCTATAAAAGGTGACGCAGATTCGTACCTTGTCGAAGATTATATTTCTTTTTAAGTTTCCTCGATTGTGCAGGCCGGTAGACGTAATATATGCTTTATAAAAACGAGGCGTTTAATCAAATACGAGTATCCAATTAAAGAAACGCTTGAAATAATAAAAATACATAAGTGTGTATGTGTGTGTGTGGAGAAAGAAAGAAAGAAAGAAAGAAAGAAAGAAAGAAAGAAAGAAAGAAAGAAAGAAAGGCCAAACAGAAAGAAAGAAAGAAAGAAAGAAAGGCCAAACAGAAAGAGAAAGACAGACAGAAGATTGTAAGGTAGTTGACGTAGAAATTGGGAAGGGAAGAGAGTTACGTGCACATGGTTGTTGTGTGTTTGATTAAATGTGGACTTTTGGCAACTGCTGGGATTTGGCGGGAACTCGTACTTTCCTCTTTCTCCAGAGAGACGTCCATTGTAAGAATGATTGAGTAACTCAATTTACCTCCAAATACCATATTCTTTTATTCCCCCACGCAAACTACTCATCCAAATCCCGTAACAGACGAGAGGCAAGAAACTGGTGCATATATATATATATATATATATATATATATATATATATATATATATATATATGTAAGCAAATATATGGATATAGATCTGACAGTATGAAAAAAATATACGGAAAAAAACAAACAAAAATCCTAATATGCAATTATGCTGTTTTAATGTTAATATAATGTCAACGTCGGACGTTTCGGTCAAATAGACCATCTTCAGGACATATTCATAAAACATAATTAACATAGACCATATACAATTCAACATGAAAAAGACGATGGACATAAAAAGCAAGACCAATCCAAACAGATAACTGAAATTTTTTATAAAATCAGCGTTCCGTTTAAATATGAACACGTCGTCGTCGTCTTTTTTCATGTTGAATTGAATATGGTCTATGTTAATTATGTTTTATGAACATGTTGAAGATGGTCTATTAGACCGAAACGTCCGATATTATATTAACATTATAATATATATAGATCCGTATATTTTTTCATATATATATATATATATATATATATATATATAGATAGATAGATAAATAGATAAACCTAGTGAGCCAGACAAACGGATCCGTTTAGGTGAAACCTAGGTAGGTTTGTCTGGCTCACTAGGTTTATCTAGGTCTGCTCTACGGTTGTACTGAGCTCTTTTTAGTTAGTTGTTTACTCGTGTCAGGGTTTTTCTTTGGGCTTCAAAGCTGTATCTGTGCGATTTTTTTCGACAGACTTTCATGTTTCTAGCTCTTTCTTTTTTTAAAACCTTTTTTTTCCCTCGAGATTGATTTGATTATTGGCAAATCAAAAATTCGAGGGTTTTTTCGAAAAGTATAGTTATATATATATATATATATATATATATATATATATATATATATATATATAAGACATGTCTCATTAAATAATTTAGAGAAGTTTTGTCTACTTATTTTCAACAGGGTCCTCTCATAATTACGGACAAGTTTCTTAGTATCCTTATTAAAGGAAGAAAGAAAGTTTCCATGTTGATGCATATTCTTTTTATTCTGAGCACTTTCGACATTAGCACAATGTCGTCATCAGGGTCTTGTTTTTCTAAGACGAAAAATTGTTGCGCCCATCATTTTCTTAAAACAAAATTGTTGTGCTCATCTGAAAATTTAACTTTTTACATATGAAGCGAAAAACACTAAGGTTATGTGCTGTACAATTTGAAATTTAATCATGTTGGTTCACGTGCAAAGGAAGGGGGTAATTGATTTATTGTAATGTCTAAAAGGATACTATTAAAACTAACGAGACAATATATGTCTAAATTATTTAATGAGACATGAAAACATATTTGCCAAAAAATATATATATATATATATATATATATATATATATATATATATATATATATATATATATGGTTCAAACTATTCCCTGATTATAATTTATTACATTGGAATCGTAATCACGGTCCAATTCATCAGACCTACAAATGCAAAATACTGCGTATATATCAAATATTTATATGCTAGGGAGGCTAGCCAATCCCCTATTGCAGACACTTGTTCAGACGCATTTGTGTTTGCTTAACACCTACAGAGCCCACTTGTGGTTTATACTGCAACTATGCTGAGCAGACCTTAGTTGCAGTTTCTGGGAGAGAACGTGTTATCTAGCGTGATCAACAGTTAGAACAAGTCTAGCACGCTCAAGCCCTCAACCACGATGAGTTGTGACTTCGTGCTAACACAGCTATCGATGGCCCTCAAGAGTTCCGTCTACCAAATTTCACTTACAAGGCTGGTATGGTTTTCTAGCAGTTTCCAAAGGTGCAGCACGCTAGGATCGCCCCCGACAACATTTACCGGCCTGAATGTCCGAGAAATTTTCGGAGGACGAATATTTTCTGTGAAAATTTCTCGGACATTCAGGCCGGTAAATGTTGTTTAATACTGTTTATTATAAAACAGAGCATTTACTTAAATATTTGTATCTATAAAAAGAATACATAAAAATGTCTTAAAATAATTGTCGGACTTTGTCCATTTCATGTGTGACGTCATTTGTTTACATTTGATACGCCATGAGCAGATATGAATGTACGTGAGAGATTCATGGAAGATTGAAGTTTAAAAGCAGTAAATTCGACCTTATTAACCGAACGCGCCTCTGTGCCTAAATCGGTAAAGGCACGTCAAGCTAAATGACGGTTCCGTATAGGATACAGGTTCGAATCCTGTCTAAGGATGAATATTTTCTGTGAAAATTTCTCGGACATTCAGGCCAGTAAATGTTATCAATACTGTTTATTATAAAACAGAGCATTTACTTAAATATTTGTATCTATAAAAAGAATGTATAAGCATAAAGATGTCTTAATATATATATATTTACACAGGATGTCCATAAAGTTCGTATGCACTTTAAACAATTTATAACTTTGAAGTCCACACGAACTTTATAGACACCTGTGTATATATATATATATATATATATATATATATATATATATATATATATATATATATATATATATATAAAAAAAAAGCAAAATAAAGTTTTAAAATAATAACGAAAACTTTTTTTTCCAAATTATAAGAATTTTTCATCAGTTTAGCTTAGATTTACACAAAGCCGAAAGCACAGGGAAGCCGGTGAGGATCGTAACTCGTAATCTTTCTATTGAGACAAGCTTGTTAACCATTACACCATGTCGAGTCGATCATAATCTTTACTGATATGAGTACAAAATGTTGTAAATATCTTAACGTCTGCTTTTCTGATGCCACTTCCTACAGTACCACGAATCGGTAATCTCTTTTCTTTTTTTTTTTTTCAGTGTCTAATTCGGGGCGTGGTTGTAACAGATTCTAGTCACTTGGGTAGGGACAACAGATTTTAAAACTGCTTCAGTGTCTTCTACTCATTACCACATTTGCTGCTTCTGCTGTCTTTTTAAACACACGGTTCAAACATTTGGGGTCTGCTCCCTGCCCCTGTCGTCAGGCACGCTTCACCACGTCCCTAGTAATTATCAACTTGATGCTAACTGATACCCATTTCGTAGGGCACGAATTAGACAAATCTGCACCCAAGAAAAAGAAAAGTAAAGGTGGGTGGATGAAAGGCGAAAAGCGTTGCCCACAGCAGGTTAAATATTTGATTGAATCAAAGATTAAAGAGTTCCGATTTTGTTATTTTGCGAGGTTTTGTTTACGATCACAAAAAACTGACTTCGTCTGTTTGTTTTGGAATATGAGTCGAGTAAAAACACTGGAGGGTGTTGTTTTTTTGTTTTGTTATCTGCTTTCGAGAGACTTTCTTTTATAATTCCTTTATTCTCTCTTTCCATTCTCTCATTTTTTTTGTTTTTCTCCCTTTCTTTATCTATTTCTTCCTTTCATTTCCTTTTTTCCTTTCTTTTTGTTGTCCATCATTTCTTTTTGTTTGTTTGTTTCTTTCTTTTTGTTTGTTTGTTTCTTTCTTTTTTCTTCCTTTCTATCGTCTATCATTTATTGTTTTCTTTCTTTCGTTCTTTCTTTCTTTTTTCGTCCATCATTTATTTGTTCTTTCTTTCTTTGTTCATTTTTGTCTATTTTTCTTTCGCCTTTCATTTCTTTCAGTCTTTCTTCATTTTTTTCTTTTTCTCGCATGCTTCATTTCTTTGTTTCTTTCGCTCTTCATCTATTTATTTTTTTCTTTCATTTGTTCTCGTCCTTCCTTCCTTCCTTTCTTTCTTTCTTTTTCTCTCGTCCTCCTTTTCTTTCTTTCTTTTTTTCTTTCTTTCTTTCTTTCTTTCTTTCTTTCTTTCTTTCGTACCTCATTTTTTTCTATTTTTCTTTCATTTTCTTTCTTTCCTTCTTTCTTTCTTTCTTTCTTTCTTTCTTTCTTTGTCGCCCTTCATTTCTAACCTTTTCCAGCTTTCGTGTTTCATTTCAATCTTTCTTTCTTTCTTTCTTTCTTTCTTTCTTTGTTTATTTCGTCATTTCTTACATTTACACTTCTTCCTTATTTCTTTTTGTCTTCCTTTCTTCATTTCTTTTTTCTCTCGTCCTTCATTTCTTTCTATCTTTCTATGTTTTTTTCTTTTTTCTTTCTTTCTTTTATCCTTCATTTCTTTCTATTTTTCTTTCTTTTTCTTTCGACCTTCATTTCTCTCTATTTTTCTATCTTTTTCTTTAACCCTCATTTCGTATTATTTTTCTTTATTTTTCTTTCATCCATTTACATTTCTTTCTTTCTTTCTTTCTTTCTTTCTTTCTTTCTTTCTTTCTTTCTTTCTTTCGTCCGCCATTTCTATCTTTCTGTCCTTCTTTCTGTCATCCTTCATTTCTTTCTATTATTCTTTCTTTTTCTTTCTCCTTCCATTTCTCTTTCTTTCTTTCTTTCTTTCTTTCTTTTATTTTCTATTGTCCATCAGTCCTTTCTCTCTTCCTAGTTTCTTTCTTTTTCTTTCCTTCCTTCATTTCCTTCTATCTTTCTGCCTTCCGTCGTACACAGCTTTTTATATTTCTTTCTTTTTCTTTCGCCCTTTATTTCTAACTTTCATTCTTTATTAATTTATTTCTTCTTTCTTTCAATTTCTCTTGTCCTTCATTTTGTTTTTTCTTCATTTCTGTTTCTCTTGTCTTTCATTTCTTTCTATCTTTCTGTCTTTCTTTCTTTCTTCCTTTCAATATTTTTTTCTTTTTCTTTCGCTCTTTATTTCGTATTATTTTTCTTTCTTTTTCTCTCGGCCATCATTTATTTTTTCATTCTTCATCTTTTATTTATTTCTATTTTTCTTTCTTTTTCTTACGCTCTTCATTTCTTCTTTCCTTTCTTTCTTCATTGTCATTTTTCTCTTATCCTTCATTTCTTCCTATCTTTCGGCCGTTCTTTCTTTGTTTCTTCATTTCTTTGTATTTTTCCTTCTTTTTCTTCGTCAATTTATTTTTCTTCATTTCTTTCATTTTCTCTTGTCCTTCATTTCTTTTTCTCTTCTTTTATTCCTTTTTTTTCGCCCTTCATTTCTTTTTTCTTTCTTTCTTTCTTTTTCTCTCGCCCTCCATTACTTTCTGAACTTCTATCTTTCCGTCTTCCTTCATTTCTTTCTATTTTCTTTCTTTTTCTTTCAGCCTCCAATTCTTTCTTTCTTTCTTTCATTTTCAGCCGTCTTTCATTTATTTATTTCTTCATTTATTTCTTTTTTACCTCGCCCTCCATTTCTTTCTTTCTTTCTTTCTTTCTTTCTTTCTTTCTTTCTTTCTTTCTTTCTTTCATTTTCACCCGTCTTTCATTTGTTTCTTTCTCCATTTCTTTCTTTTTCTCTAGTTTTTTTTTCCTTTTTTTCTTTCATCCCTCTTTTTTTTCTTTTTTTCTTCTTCATTGCTTTCAATGTTCCTTTCTTTCTCCATTGTACATTCTTACTTTCTTTTGTCATACATATTTTATTTTCCTCTCGTTCCTCCATCTCTACATTTCCTTATCTTTTTTTATCTCTCTCAAATGCTAGTTTCTCTCTATCTTTCTTCTTTTTTCTCTTTCTCTCTTCCTTTTTCCTCTTTTTCATTCCTCTTTCGTTTTCTCTCTTCTCCTTTGCTTCGTTGTTTCTTTCAAAATTTTGTTTTCAGTCTTATTCAATATGGACAAAAGATTTGGCAAAAAAGGGGTCGAGGAAGAGAGGGAAAACTTCCAAAGAACTCCACGAGGCAGACAGATAGACAGAAAGAAAGAAATAAATGAAAGAAAGAACGAAAAGCATATTATTAAAAAGAAAATTTGATAAAGAAAGTTAGATTTGAATAAACCGAATTTCTAAATCCCGTTTTGGATTAGAAACAATAATGTCCCGACTCAAAAATGAAAAATAATGATAAAAAGGCGACGGAATATTATTGTTCGACAAAAAAAAAAAAAAAAAAAATTCGTCGGAGAATGAAAGGAAATTGTCGAACATTTGGTGCTCATTTTAGTCAATCTGTGTATATTCATTTTAACTGCAATGATAGGTAGAATAAAAAAACATCCAGTAAATTGACACATCAGAAGATATCGAACTGTATTTGTTTCTGTAGATATACATCATTTCTATTATTTTTTGTCTTCCATCATTTATTTTTTCTTTCTTTCTATCATCCATTTATTCTTTCGTCCTTCATTTCTTTCTATCTTTCTTTCCTTCTTTCTTTCTTTCTTTTCTAACCTTTTCCTTTTTTTCATTCTTTCGTTCTTCGTTTATTTCTCTTCCATTCCTTTTTCTATTTCTTTCTTTCTTTCTTTCTTTCTTTCTTTCTTTCGCTCGTTCTTCCTTTCTTTCTCTTTCATTCCTTTTTTGGTTTCGTTTTCTATTTATTTCCTTCTTTTTTCTTTCTTTCTCTTCCATTCATTTTTGATTTCTTTTTCTATTTCTTTTCTTTCTTTCTTTCTTTCTTTCTTTCTTTCTTTCTTTCTTTCTTTCTTTCGCTCGTTCTTCCTTTCTTTCTCTTTCATTCCTTTTTTGGTTTCGTTTTCTATTTATTTCCTTCTTTTTTCTTTCTTTCTCTTCCATTCATTTTTTGATTTCTTTTTCTATTTCTTTTCTTTCTTTCTTTCTTTCTTTCTTTCTTTCTTTCTTTCTTTCTTTCGCTCGTTCTTCCTTTCTTTCTCTTTCATTCCTTTTTTGGTTTCGTTTTCTATTTATTTCCTTCTTTTTTTTTCTTTCTCTTCCATTCATTTTTTGATTTCTTTTTCTATTTCTTTTCTTTCTTTCTTTCTTTCTTTCTTTCTTTCTTTCTTTCTTTATTTATTTATTTATTTATTCCGCATTTTACTTTTCTTATTTTCTTCATTTCTTACTTTTTCTCTTCTCCTTAATTTCTTACTCTCTTCTTTTCTTCGTTTCTTTATTTTTCTTTCATCCTCTATTTCTTTCTATCTTTCTGTCAGTCTTTTTTTTTCTTTCTTTCTTCATTCCTTTCTATTTTTCTTTTTTATTCCGCATTTTATTTTTCTTATTTTCTTCATTTCTTTTTTTTTCTAATGTCCTTCATTTCTTTCTCTCTTCTTTTCTTTGTTTTTTCTTTTTCTTTCATCCTCTATTTCTTTCTATCTTTCTGTCAGTCTTTCTTTCTTTCGTGATACATCTGTTATTTTCCTCTCGTTCCTCCATCTTTTCATTTCTTTATCTTTCTTTTTTTCTTTCTACTGAAAGAATAAAAGGTTTTTTTGCTGTTATGTAAACTTAATAATTCTAATGAAAATTCTACTTCATGAATGCTAATATATATATATATATATATATATATATATATATATATATGGTATCAAATGACAATTGGAAAAAAAATCATACATTTTTTCCGACGCGTTTCGTCTTCCGACTTTTTCAAGGCAAAAATGAAATCGAAATGTTTTTGTTGTTATAGTTACATTAAAATTCAAAATTAAAAAGACAGACGCTTTTGTCTAAGCCTTTTCTTTTTCTGGTTAATGTAAATTACCTTTATAGTAAGGGATTATTATTATTATTTTTTTACATTAACCAGAAAAAAGGCTTAGACACATAAGTGAATGTAATGGATTCGACCTCGGCTCTCCGATTCCTCCTATCCATTACTCCACCGTCCGTGCGTGCATATATATATATATATATATATATATATATATATATATATATATATATAGTCATCCAAAACAGACTGTTTCGCTGTATCATCCGGTTGCCTCTAGCTAGGATCGAAACCTGATTGAATTGGCGTCAGTCGGGGATTCTACTAAGCCGTTGGCGCATGGCAGGAATGAAGGTGAATTTCAAGTGCATTTATTTTTAGATAAACACCCAGTGACTGAGAGAGCTCAATTCGATTTACCGAAGAGTCTTGCACTATTAGCAGCAATAGTCACTGTTTACAAATTCACACTTCCTCCCCAGAGAAGCGCAACCGAAATAAATTTTCAGAAGCATATATATTGTCATCCACAGACAGACTGTTTCGCTTTATCACAGCCCATCAGTGTGGCTAGACATTCGGTTGCCTCTAGCTAGGATCGAAACCCGATTGAATTGGCGTCAGTCGGTGATTCTACGACTAAGCCGTTATATATATATATATATATATATATATATATATATATATATATATATATATATATATATATATATATATATATATATATATATATATATATTATATTTTGGGTTGTTTTGCTTTATGGCATATCAGCCTCAATGGGTTATATAATGCTGACAAGATTTTTATTGCAGGTAATTTTTTTTTATCAAAAATGTATTGCTGGTAATAATTTTTTACTAAGTATTTCTGGTATTAAAACTTATTTTTACACTTTTATATTGTTTTGACCCCAGTTTGGGGATTAACTATTTGCCCATAGCTGGGACCCTAACAGGTGCTACCACCCCGGATCAGGAGGTGGTTCCACGCTCCTCAAAACCTCCTGATCAGAGGCCTTGCTGTTGGACGTAGTTTATAGTCTTACCCAGCACGCGGATGTAGTTTATCGTCATACACTGCACAACTTTTGTAAAATATTTACAGTAGATAGTTTAAAATATTCAGGTTTAAACTTATATCTGTCTATATCGCTGATATATTTCTGTTCTTTTCTGCTCAAAGGTCTTCTCAAATAACTGTCTCTGTATCTGCCTGTATCGCTGAGATGAGGTATTATGATTACTTACATTATTTACATTAATCGGACTGTTATCCTCATCTTCATTGCCATATTGACAACATTTCGGCCGTTGTACGCACCGGCCTTCTTCAGGTGATTGGAATAATCTACCCCGGGTAGTAGGGTTCGGTTCGAAATTCCAATCACCTGAAGAAGGCTGGAGCGTACAACGGCCGAAACGTTGTGAATATTTTAATGAAGATGATGACAACAGCCCGAATAACATTCCCGTTGGATTCGTTATATTCGCGTAAGCGAATATAACGAAGAAAATTATGAATATATCTCTTCTTCCCCTCCAGATATGGGTTAATTAGTAAGACGTGTAAACCATTATAAACTCTAAAAAATAAAATAAAATGAAAAAAATGCGTATAAAATATTTAAATTCTGGCATTAAACATGCTGTAAACAAAAGCAACCACAAATTATTTATTACATTCTGATTAGATATGAATCTACCGATTTCCCCCCAGATATGGGTTAATTATTAAGACTTGTATCCCTAAACGATTATTATCTCCCCCGCCAAATTAGATTAATTTACAGTATATGGAATATAAATATAGAAACTACCATGGCCATAAAATAAGGGATCAGTTTATGTATAGATTATGATATAGAATTGATCCCTCAATTTTTATCCACACTATAATTTATTTGTGAATTTATATTCTTATTAGGTATGATTCCACTTCTTCCCCTCCAGATATGGGTTAATTAGTAAGACTTGTATCTGTAAACCATTATTATCTTCAAAAAATTCTTACAATGTAAAAATATTTTCTGGCTTTAAATAACCAGAAAAGTGTTGATAAGCTGTAGAAAACGAATAAAAAAAAGCAAAAATATGTCTGTGCGCATTATACACAGTTATTTTTGAAGAAGAAGTTAAAAAAAAACAGCCATTGACGAAAACAAAAGTACGCTATAATTAAGGTAGAACGAAATCTCAAGTAATCCTGACCGAGAGTTTTGAACAAACACAAATGTGTCTGAGCAGGCGTCTACAATAGGGATTGGCTAGCCATCCTACTAGACAGGAATATTCAGGTACGAACAACCAGCCATTACAAAAAAAAAAAAAAAAAATGAAATGATATTGTAAGTGTGTGCAGTTTTAAGTATCCCTATGCTGAAAAGGAAGTGAAAACTTTTATTTGTTTTTCCTCCGAAAGTGTCAACAGCCTCGAGCCAATACCTCAAAATATCAATGAAAAAAAAAAAATAGTTCACAGAAAGAATTGCAAAACACCAGAATTCTTCAACAATTTAGACATTACTTTCTTTTTCTTTTTTTCTTTTTGTTTTTCCTTCTGGAATGACGTTTCTTAGCGTTCTTCTTTCTTTCTTTCTTTTTCTTTCTTTCTTTCTTTCTTTCTTTAATGCAACGAGATCTCGTCCAATGGAACAGCGAATGAGATCTTCCTTTTTCATCCACCTAGGCAAAGACAACAGACTGACTGATTAGCCTTTCTTTTTATTCAAAGTACTAGCTTCATTTACACGTCTGGGCGCTAGGGAAATCAACATGGTGTCCTGTATTCAATCAGAGAGAAGAAAAAGGCTGCCGTGCCTCACACATTGAAGTGAGCATGCGCACAAAAAAATGAACGCTTTTTTACGTTCGTTTTCTTTGGGAAAACAAAAAGAAACTGTTTAAGATGCTCTTGCCGAAGGGGGTCGAGCTTATGGACCAACCGGTTCAGTCATTGTACTGGAGAAAAGTTCCGACTCTGTAATTTCTGATAATTCATTCACCAAAAATTCGTCGCATTTCCACATATATTTGTCGTCAGAGGAATGCGTGCAATTTATTTTTTTATACGACAAACACGTACATGCATACATACGCATATATATATATATATATATATATATATATATATATATATATATATATATATATATATATATACGTTAACGTTAGAATGTTTACTTTCTGGACATGAGACGCGAGTTCAAATCACACCATGGTCGATTTGTCACGAAGGCGACTTACTGGTGTTATCGGACTGTCGAGGTCAATCCCAGCGTGTGGCACTTTTGGAAAGTGACTGAAAACCTTACCATGGTTTGACCTAAGCCTTGAAGTGAAATTGGGTAGACGGAACTCTTGTGGGCCGTCGATAGCTGTCCTAGCACGAAGCCGCAAGTCATCGTGGCCGAGGGCTTGAGCGTGCTCGCCTTGTTCAAATTGTTGATCACTCTAGATTAACATGCTCTTTCCCAGAAACTGTAACTAAGGTCTGCTCAGTATAGTTGCAGTATAAACCACAGTTGGGCTCTGTGGGTGTTGAGCAAACACAAATGTGCCTGAGCGAGAGTCTGCAATAGGGATTGGCTAGCCGCTCTAGTAGATGGGTATCCTCGAATACAAATGGTCAGATATTATATGCAGCGTACAATGGATAAATTCTCATCTAAATTACACACAAATTAAAATAACACTGACATCTCATTCTAACCAAGATTAAAAAAAAAATATCTTGAAATACTAAAGAGTAAATTTATTCAATAAAATGGCCATTATCTTCAAACGCGGCCTCCAGGCGACTTTCGGGATCTCCTGCATCTCTTCTGGACGGTCTCCTTGTTTAAGTTGGTAACTCCTGCCATAATCCTTGCTTTCAGTTCATCTTTGGTGTTACAAAGAGTTTTCCGGTGACTCGCTCAACTGCGCCCCAAACATAATAATCAAGATAGATGCTGTCTGAGGAGTGAGGTGGTCAGATGTAAGGGGGGATGTGGTCGCAGAAATTGCTTGTATGGCATGGTGCACAGGGTCTTCCAACAGTCACCCTCTTAAGCCAGAGCAGCACTACCTCCTCAAAGTACATGATGTAGGCCTCCGTGTGGATTCTGAGGCCCTCACCAAGAGATTCGTGAGTTCTTTTCTAATCAGAACGATGAGAGTGAGTTTTCCGAGAAATATAGACAAATACTGAAGGGCCGAAACGTTGTATTAAATATGGCAACAAAGATTAGGACAATAGTCCGAATAATGTAAATAGTGATCAAAATACCTCATCTCAGAAATATAAACAGATAATGAAGGGCCGAAACGTTGTAATAAATATGGCGACAAAGATGAGGACAATAGTCTGAATAATGTAAATAGTGTACATAATACCTCATCTCAGAAATATAGACAGATACTGAAGGGCTGAAACGTTGTAATAAATATGGTAACAAAGATGAGGACAATAGTCCGAATAACGTAAATAGTGTACATATGACCTCATCTCAGAAATATAGACAGATACTGAAAGGCCGAAACGTTGTAATAAATATGACGACAAAGATGAGGACAATAGTCCGAATAATGTAAATAGTGTACATAATACCTCATCTAAGAAATATAGACAGATACTGAAGGGCCGACACGTTGTAAAAAATATGACGACAAAGATGAGGACAATAGTCCGAATGATGTAAATAGTGTACATAATACCTCATCTCAGAAATATGGACAGATACTAAAAATCCGAAATGCTGTAATAAATATGGCGACAAAGATGAGGGCAATAGTCCGAATAATGTAAATAGTGTACATAATACCTCATCTCAGAAATATAACCAGTACTGAAAGGCCGAAACGTTGTAATAAATATGACGACAAAGATGAGGACAACAGTCCGAATAATGTAAATAGTGTACATAATATCTCATCTCAGAAATATAGACAGATACTGAAGGGCCGAAACGTTGTCATAAATATGACGACAAAGATGAGGACAATTGTCCGAATAATGTTAATAGTAAACTATATACAAACCATACATTTTTCAAAACTAGAGAAGCTAGCAAATTTACTGCTACAAATGGCATGTCACTATCTCTACTGACAAAGGTTTTATCGTCGTATATAGAATATGTTTCAAATGTGCTCCGTTTTGCTGAGGAGATACTTGAATTCTACGGGGGAAGTGACTTTGACTTTGATTCGCACTTCTTTTGGTATAGCTCGGATTTCTTGAGTGGTTACTGTCTTTAACTCTGAGATTGTGTGAGGTTGATACTGTAGATTCGATCCTTCAGATACCCCAACAGATAAAAATCTCGGGGGTTGAGGTCGGGGGAATGCGGAGACCAGTCAGGTTCGCGTTTAGGACGGATGTGTCTGTAGGGAAACTTCTTGTCCAACCGCTCCCGAGAGACATTTGCTGTATGAGGGTTGGCACCATCTTTCTGGTAACAGTTGTGGTCCCTGTGAGCCCTGGTTACACCTCTGGCACGGCTTATGGGAGGATTTGGTGAGGCCAAGGTCCTGGAACCTTCTGCGGACGGATTTCTTCGGACTCCTGCTTACTGAGTCTCGGACAGCTGTTATGTTTTCAGAAGGTTTTCTACCAACTTTGACCACTTTTTTTTCCTCGTGTTGTTGATTGCCTCAAATTTCTTGATCCATCGATAAATATCAGGGGTTTTATTCTTGTCATATATTCTACGGAATTTCGCGAGGGCATGTTTATAGGAATTTCCCTTCAATTTTCTCAGCACAGAGAAAATTTTCTATTCTGTAAAATGCATTGCAGTTGATGTTCTGGTTTTGCTATCTTCTCAGCTTTCTAAATCTGAAATATAAAAACAAAATATTAAAAATCAACAAAATTACATAGGTTTATTTGGGTTAAATTTATATTGGGGCGCCCTTTATTATAGGGTTTAAAATGTCATTTCTTTTCCTGGCATTATAACGAATAAATCACTGACGGTCGTATGATGTTGAAACACTAATTCCCGTAAGATCACCACAGTTAAGCAACGTCGATACTGGCCAGTACATACGGGTAACCTCTTGGGAATACCAGGTATTATAAGCTTGAATGTACGGGTGATGCAAATGGATAATGCCTCAGAATTGTTAACTTGAGAGCCGAGTTCAAATACCAGTTGCGTTATTATATACACTTACGCGCAAATACTCTTGGGAAGCGTATAAATCCATCTCTTCTCCGCCGTCTATGGGTTAATTAGTAAAACTTATATCTGTAAATCATTATTATCTAAAAAAATCATTTTTACAATCTAAAAATATTTTCTGGCTTTAAATAACCTGAAAAGTGTTGATAAGCCGTAAAAAATAAATGAGTTAATTAAAAACAGATGTTTCACCGTACAATTAAGACTTAAATATATCCGGGATTTGATCCTCCATTTTTTTTTTTTTTTTTTTTTTGCTGATCGTTTCATCATTTTGGAAATTTGAATTTAAGTACTGCATAAAAGTAACGAATCTTATTTTCTATTTGTATATGCCATGTCCCTTCAGGCCGTGGTTGATCATGGCTATCCACAGCTTCTTCACAACGTTTGTCCCTTTGCCATCCTTCCCATCCACCCTTCTACCATCCTCTCACACCCGTTCGTCAAATGGGTAGCTCGCTGCACCCTCTGACCCCTTTGCTTTCGATATGCCCTCTGCAGGTCAAATTCTGCAAACTCTCTTTCTTGATTATTTCTCCCAGGAATGTCAGCTGCCTCTTTTTTTATTCTTAGTCTAACCTAAGTATGTCCACTGTTTTCGCGGAAAAACAGCATAGCGTAAATGAAAAATGCCACAAACTTAAAGAAAATAAAGTATTATCGTCAAAATGCTTATGTTATTATTTAGATGAAAGAAAAAAGTATTTTTTAATTATTTTTTGAAATTTTTTAATATTTTCTAACACGTTCGAAATTCTGGTTAAAGTCGTCTTTGTTTACATCATCGCGGCGACGTTTAAAATAACAGTTTTTTTTTTGCGTTTTTTTACCGTTGAAAACATATTGATTTGGAAATTCTTGTAAAAATAAAATAATTGTCCGATCTTAATGAAATTTTCAGGACTTATTCACAAATGAATGAAATTATTTTTTAAATATTTTGTTTTTAGAAAATTTTTGTAAAAAAAAATATTTTTTTTTAAATATGTTACCCCCCACTTAGTTAATTTCATGAAATTTCGCCCAAAACCTTTTTGGCTCCTCAATTTTATTTTTTTGTTAAAAGAAGGAGTCTTTGGAGATGGTAAATAACCTACTTTTTTTTTTACAAATTTGAGCTACTTAACTGAAAATCTTGTCTGAATTGAAAAATAATGAATCCAATAAAACTATGATATTACTTAATTAGAAAAGCTTTTAATTGCTTTTGTAAATAAGTAATATTAAGGACATTATTGTCTGAAGAAATAATTTTTTCTGATGAATAATTAATTTTTACAAGAATTTTTTGTTTTTTAAGAAATTTTAATTATAATAATTTATAATAGTTTAACATCGTGTAAAGCTCTGTATTAGGAGGGCTCCTCAATATTATGTAGTAATTAAGTAGAAAAAAAATTTACGAATCCAAAATTGCTAAGTTTAATAAATTTAGTTGCGCTACTTTTTTTTTAAAAATAATTTTTTATGTTGTATTTTTTACTTAATACATTCCTTATTTCCATGTATGATATACAGAAATTGCCATTATTATAACAAGGT